ACTTGTTTGTTTTTTATAATAGAAGAGCAAAAAATGTCTGAAGATAGTTTTTACGTAATTCGTAAAGTCCAAAATAGGTTGGATATTTTTCCTTCGTTTTTGCAAGTCTCAGTAATTATGGGTCTAGCGTGATTAAAATGAAACTTATTCTAGGCGTGTAGGTATAGACTTCTACCTTTTTTCTTTTGATTTTTCATCTTTTTGGAGTCCGATGCTCTGACCGGGTTGTTCCCATAAGGTTTCATTGTCGCGTATGACTTTGTTTTCCTCAACAGTCCAGAGCGTTTTGGTATCGATTCAGCTGCTCTAATGGGCGGACTAGGTCCATAATTTGTGTCGTACTTAATTAGACTGTTTATACCGTTAACTTTCTCAAGAAAATCGTCGGGATTGATGAGTTGGGAACCACCTGGTCAAGCCATGTTCAATATTCAATCATCAATATGTTTTATTTTCTTGAAATTTATGAAAATCTGTTGCGACAATGTGCTCTAAGTATATGAATAATCCTCTTGGAAAATATAGCTGTGTTGGCTTATGATGCATTTGATTCGATAAAAGTTCCAGCATAGTGAATGAAGCACCGGGGTGCCTAGAGTTGCTGTGGCAAGTCAATGACTACTGTAAGACCTGAAAAGTGTTATTGTTGGCATTTATGAACATGGCTCCCTAGAAATACGAAAGGTCCTCCGTTCTTGTGAAAGAAGTCATTTAATAGCTGTGCGTACTTCGCTTCCCCATATGTTAGTCCACCGGATACAAAAACGACAACGGAATTGCGTTCCGCAAGGCGCTGTTGATGAGGATGTTGGTTGTGGATGTTAGTCTTGCGCTTTTTTGCCATCATGGGTTTCGGGTGGACGTCGAGAGCTGGAAATTTGTCGAAGTTGTAGCTCGGATTCTGAACCAGTTCCTTGACCAGGTGATAAATATTGGGACACCAGTCGACGATGCTTGGCATTTTATCTGGTCTAATTGGTATCTAATAATATGCGCAAAATATGACTTTTGGATAAAATTTTGCGATTTCAGATGGATCCAAGAGTATTTTAAGAATATTTTAATAATTTCGATCTCTTCCTAGTCGGTGGTTCCATTTATTGACAATTACATGACAGAAAAAATTGTTGGAAATCGAACCTTCCGTATGAACTCGCATGATAATTCCTGTTTCCAGTCTCTGTTTTGCTCCTTAAATTTGGCCCAGGAGCCACTTTGAGCGATGATCGGAGTCCCAAGAAAATCCATGTTGGACAAAACGGGAATGTAGTCGTCTGGAATGTCAGCCTCTTCGAATCGGATATTTAGTTCATCCATAGATATCCCGCCAATAGACGATAAGGATCTTGCGTACAAGTATAGAAGTCTGATTCGTTCATTGAGACTCAGCTGGCGGCCTAGCGTGCCGTCAGCGTTACTTTTCAGAACTTCTTGAACAATTTTCCAGTTTATAAGCTCGCCTTTCTTTTGCTCGAGATTAGACGCCAGGTATTGCTCACATTCTACTACTTTTTTGCTGTAAACCTGCAGTGTTTGTTCCACGAGATGAGAAAGAGCCCCGATCATTTCTTTGAAGAATCTCTGTTCTGGGTATTTGGACATGAGTTCCTGTAGTTTGGTCAGGGATAGTTGCTTGACATTACCTTGCTCCAGTTTCTCCTGATTTTTGAGATCATCGATGAGCTGTTGGACTTGACCTATGGTTGATGTATTATTAGTTTGCACAGTGCAGAAATAAAATACGCTTGCGATTAGCAAGAGTTATCAAATCGAAATATAGACTTTTTTTCTGGTTAACAACTAGGTTAAAATCACTTGTATCATTTTACCTTTGGTTCATAAGTTATTTCATTGCACTTGGCCTGGAGGTAATGAAGTTGCCTTTGAAAACTTATGCCAGGAATTCGAGTCCCGACCGGATTTTGTTTTTTTTTTGTCTGAAATTGAATTTTTTTCCGGGCAATATTGATAAGTCGGATTTTAGTTTGTCTGCTTGTGTTTTTTCGGCTTTGTTGCCAAACCATAATTTTTTTTGCGCTGTAATCAGTTTCCTTTGTAGTCTCAAGTGTCGCTGATTAACTACTTTGTAGTTTTTGAAAATTACTTTACCTGGAAATTAGTTTTTCGTATTTCCAAGAAAGTTGATTACTTTTTTATGACAACCATTTACTTTGGTATTTTTGTTTTTGCATCAATTGGCATCTAACCATGTTTGTTGGCTTAGTGTTTGTTGGCTTACCCTTAATAAATGGTAAAGGCTTGCTTAATGCTTGTGGTTGTATTTTTCGTCTGTTTTTTTCTGAGATTGAACTTTTCCTGTTTCCAAAATAATAAGTTTTTCGTTACACCCATTTATTTTGGCAATTTCGTTTTCGGATTGATTGGCGTCTAACCATGTGTTGTTCGCTTAATGGACACTCGGAACACTTTTAAATCTGGCTTGGTTGTGTTCTCGTCTGTTTTTCTGTGATTGGATTTTTTTTTTTCGAATTTCCAGTTTTTTTAAGTTTTTTTCCACTTAGTTATTTCCATCTTGCAACGGTGCGCTTTTGTTGTATCGCAAGTTATGCGAAGCTTAGCTTTGCTTCAGTGTCTGAACATCCATTAATTTTTTTTGGGTGATTCAATGTTGTTAATTAAAACACTGAATTCCAAAAGCGCATTTAAACTATTTTTTGCTAACCTATGGCCTCGACAATGTTGGTGTATCGCATGTTTCTCCAGAAATGATTGGAGTCGTCCAAATAGAGAACTCGTTCGGTCTTCATCTCCTCCTCGGCTGCTGTCTGCACAGAGTAGATGTATTCATTCTGCTTTAGTGTGTTTGGGTTGTTGCCTTGAAATATTAAAAGCAGCCCATTTCAATTTTTCAAATTTCTTCAAATTTCAATCGTATACTTCACTAATCATTGTCTTGTTGATAACAAAAGCGAAGACTTAGCCCTTTTTAGGTTGAAGGTCAACATTGGTTTACCTTCCAATCCGATAGCCAAATAGTCCCGGGCCAATGCTTCTGTGGTCAAATCGTGAAGAACTAAAATGAGTAATTTGAAAATTGACCATAATGATAGGTTTATTAGTTTTTACGTATTGATTTTACATGCAACTTTACATTGTATTTTTGCATCATAGCAGAGATATATGGAGTGGACAATAATTAGTTCTTCTAAAAATGGCCTCCTGGTTTATATCTACTCACCTGGTGTGATGGTGTCAAAACTCCTGTCCATGATAATGATGGTGGAGTCTATGTTGGACCATACCATGGTCTCCCTGTTCTCCAAATGGTACAGTTGGATCAGTCTCCTCACCTCCTCTGCAAACTCACGATTCATGGCCGAGGAGAAGTTATTCAGATATCTGAAACAGGATTAAATTTTGTTCATAAATACATACATGTGAACCACGGTCTTTAATATTTTTGAGCTACTCAAGGTTTTTTGAGCTTTAAAAACCACTGGCCAACCCTTTTTGTAATCATCCATGCCGCCGAAATTTCTACCGGTGCCAGTGTTATGATGACAAATAAAGTTTCCATAGTTCTAGCTCTGTGCATTTTAGAGCAGGTCGTTGGAACCTCTAAGATGAATAGTCCTCTTACATTAATCCATATGGGAGTTTTTATAAGGAAAGAAAAGGAAATCAAGATTGGTCGACAGCGGATTAAGGGGGCGGAGGAGGGCGCGCCAAAAAAAACGCAATTTGTAAAAATTTTCCAAAAAGTGCCTAAAAACGCCTTTTTTGGCCTGTTTTTTCAAAATTTTGCCTGCGGCGCTAAAATTTCGGCCAAAACAGGGACTTTTTAGTGCTTCGGGAGAGCTCGAAACATCAATTTGTCAGCCGAAAAAAGGTCGACAAAATTTTCGAAAACTTTTTTGAAAATCCGCCCCCCTCATAGAAAAAATCCTAGATCCGCCACTGTTGGTCGATCAAGATTTTTTGATACCGCACAAGAAACTGGGGCGATCATCATAAACACTAGATGCTCGCCCTCACCTGATTTTACCGGGGAAATGTCCGAGTTGAATGCAGACTGAGATGACCTGGGTGGCCAATTTAGTGAGGTACGTGCTGTCCCTCAGGTGTCTCATCTTTGGATTGTAGTACATGGAGAAACACTGGCTCGAACTGATGTGGAACGCGTAGTCATTGCATCTTAATAACATCAAGTTTTTCTACGTTTTTTTTACCAGCGAATAATTGATTTTTTTCTGAACAAGCACATTGATTTTTTTTGAAAATCACGCATTCACCAGGATGTAATTTTTCGAATATAAGATATTATTAATGTAGTTTCTTCAATGTCTCGATGTCCGTTTCATTTATGTATGGTAGGTAAAAAGTTTTTCCGATAGTTTTTTAGGTTTAATACTGCAAAAGACTGACTTTGTTCGGTATTTCAAGGGCAAAGAGGGACTTTATACCAGGAGTTAATAGAACAGCGATTTAATCGTTTCAAGTGGACGCCATTTCGCGCGTTATTCTGCCAGGTCTATGCATGTCCGGATCTTGTTTTCCGAAAACGGGATTTGCATTCTGTTCCCTAGCATGTTTACATAAGCCTCAATGGACCTAATTCAAAGGGTTTAACTATCGGCAAAGATTATCCGAAAACAAAGTGCACAAGGTTAACGATTGTAGAATCTCACAGCTTAGTATTTTAAGATTATTTGAAGATATTTAGGCAGTTGATTAAAAACTTGATTTGATTTTTCATGCTAAAATAGGACAAAACTAGCCTTGAAGAGCTTCAGCGATCTTTGTATCTATTTTCATATGATAAAAGGTGCAGTATTCTTTTTTATTTAAATTCGATCGAACTTTGATTTTGGTGGAATACTAACCCAAATGCGATCAGCTTCTAGCCTGTTTTTCTCCCAATGCAGTGCATTGCTTTGTCAGCTTTGACTGACAAAATCTTCGGTGTTATAATTACTTGTTCACGGACTACGAATTTGGTTTTCTTTGAACTCCATGTCTTTGCCTGGCATGTATTAATTTCTTTTAAGGTCATTATACATGTTTTGTTCACAGTTTTTGGTTTTTATATCGACTTGGGACAACCAGAAATGAGTACATAAAATAAGTTTGAAGCTAAAGGATTTAATCTCAAATTTCGTGCTTTACAGGACATTGAACTAAAGAGCAGACAGCAGAACAAATGGTAAGTTATGGTTTAGCATTTCTTTTCGATCATATATATGGAAAGGTAAAGAAGTAGCCAATTTGATAGCTGTTTTGATAGCCAATAATAACAATAAGAAATTGTTTCAACCAGTGATAAGCCATATAGTTATAACTTTTGTAAATAATTCAAATCAAGTTGGAACAGTTTGAGCTTGTTGTCGATATTTAAACGCTAAAGAACGTAGAATAGTTTTGGATAACTTCAACCTTTTTCGAAAGCATTGAAGATAACTAACTGGTACATTATTTGGTGGCTTTTCTTTTTTTCGTCTGAGGCTAAAATGATTTGGAGTGATGCCAATATGAAAAATTGAGTGCAATGATTGAAAAAGGTGTGTAAAAGTGGTAATAAATATATTAAATTTTGGACTGTTTTTGAGTTTCCCCTGTTTGTTCCGACCATTGAAAATGGGGATGTACTTAGTCATCGACTGTGTTTTAGTTTGCTTTCCACGCGAAATAAGGCACGGCAAATAATCATTAGAATGGATCGACTGATAGATCATAATTAAGTCCTTTCAGTCCTGATTCCATTTTAAGTCTAATTTCGAGCGAAAGAAAATTTTGCATTTATGCTTTGAAAAGCTTAGTTTTGCTCCAGGACAGGCCTGCTAACTAATTTATATTATATGAACTAGTTCATATGGTGTATAATTGAGTCAGAGTTCATATTTTCACAAGATTCCAATTTTCCTTTCAGTTTTGCATGTAATTTTTGCCTCTTAAAAGATAAACTGGTGTCGAAAGTAAAGCTGTCAAAATATTTTTCATTAGATCAACGGCATGCCACTGTTATTGTCGCATTACTCGCTCGTCAAAAAATTTTTTTTCGTTATCATTACTTTTTTGTACACTAGCAAGCGTTAGTGTATTAGAATTGGTGGCACTTTGGCTATAATCACGTTCTGTAGCATTGGAAATTTCATAGCATCTGTTCTCTGCTTTTTTGTGGCTACTGTTTGTAATTTAGTGTCCGTGGCTGAGTGGTTGGTGTGTGAGGTTTATGATATCTAGGTCGCAGATCAAATCCGAGGCGTAGCCGAATTTTGTACTAAATTGAGGCTTATTTCTATTTTTTTAATCGGACAGTATAGACCTGCTTTTGTCGTGTTCTCGCTCGTGTTTGTGAAGCGCAGCTTCGCCTCTGTGTATCTGAAAGGTGCCCTTGAAGTTCATGTTTTGGAAGTTATGTCCGTTGTTCATATTTTATTTTCTGAAAGTTGGCATTTCGTAACAGGGTGTTTCATAACTATCTGCAGGGTGTTTAATAACCAATGAGACTTTTAAAAAGGCTGTCGTTTCTAGCTGTATGGACGGTTAAATATTAATTTTTACAAAGTGGCAGGTTATATGTGGATTTTTTAAAGAAAATTATAGATAAACAATTTTTTCAACAGATACTGGAAGTGTTTCAAGCCATTTGAGTCTCATTATCAGTCGTCATGCAGAACTTACTTGTCTGCCTAAAGTCCGATCGAACCCTCTAGATTACTTTGGTCGTGCATCGAGTCACTGCACTGAGATTTTGAACTGATTTGCAACGACATGCAACGACATTTTTGCCGCACATTTACACGGTATCAAGATTTAGCGGTCACAGCTTCACTTCGTAAGATGTTCACGTATTCAAGAATTATTACGAAAATTTTTTATTAGCCATATTAGCATGCAGAGTTCTAACGAAAACAAAATTTATATTGTGAGGGAGTAAAAACGAGCCGATATATCATAGTTGAGACTTTTAAACTGTAATTCGATTGATTATCAGAAATGTTTCTCTGAATAGAGAAAAGAACAAATTTGCTTTTTGTCACTCTTTATTGAGTCGTTTTAAATGCTACCATTGCTGAAGGTATATTATTGTACGCTGGTAAAGCCTGTTGGTAAAGTTTTCTACAGCTAGTTTAATCCTAAGCCCGAATGTTAAAAAAATGACCAAAACTCTTCTCCATGTCCGCGTATCTGCTGTAGCTATTTATTATTTTCGCTTAAATCTGGTTGAACTACTAAATGTTTGGATTTTCCAAGAAAGTGACAGGATATTCGTGCTCGGGTGTTTTTTTTCTCCAGACAATATTTGACTTAACTACCCATTTTTGACGGAATTGTTTCAGCCGGAAGGTATTGTTGTCCTGAGCATAAATTTAAAACGATATTTCACCTGTGACATTTTTTTGTTGTAATTTTGGGGGTTTAAAGGATGTTAATTTGGCTACTTTGGTATAATTAACGCGCGATATTTTTTTAAACTATTAACGCATAAGCGGAGGTTTAATTCGTCATGGAACTCGATCCAAATTGAATTGAGGTTTGCTATTTGATTTATTTAACACTTTACGATTTACATACAACATCAGCGAACCTTACTCAATAGACCTTAGAGAGCAGTCAAAATATTCAAAGCTTCGCCCTGATATGAGCAGTCGTGTTTCTATTTGCTTCGTCTTTGTCGTATTATTCCTATTATTGTTTCGGACTAAGCAGAAAATGGAATATTTATGCTTGTTTCGGTTTTTCAAGCAGTTTTGGGCTTGGGTCGGACTAAGCAGTTTTGACGGAAATTTGTATACCATTTGAAAAATATTGTTATCGGAGGCTGAAATTTAGAAAGTTATTTCATCTGTGTTCAGTTTGTGTAAAATTATGGGGGTTTAAAGATTGCAAATTTTGGACAATTAACGCGCGATAAATCGCGTTCTCAAAACAAGCGTAAGCGGCGGATTAATGCGTTCCAAAATGAATTGAGGTGAACCATTTGTTCTGATTTTTAGTATCGAGGCTAATTGCATCCCTTTGCACTTCACATTAGCGTTTAGGAGAATAAATTGGTAAGAATAAACAAAAACGTTTTTAAATTTTTTAAATAATTGTTTCGTCCATTTTTCAAACAATAGATTTTTTAATGAGCCTCAAAGTGCAGTCAGAATATTCAAGGTTTTGCCCTGATATACGAGCAGACTTGTTTTCTTTAATAATAGGACTTTAAAGCGTCATTTTGTCGTTTTCTCTTAAGAAAGAAGTCTGAAATTTAATTCTTTACAGGAATTTTTCAATTTAACTTCATGTTCAATTCAAGTTCAATTGTTAAAGTAACAAAATTAGGTTCACCAATAACGAAAGCGCATCTGGCGCTAAAAATATGATCGCGCTTTGAGTTTCGAAAGTGAATTTTAATTTTTAGATTCCCCATTAATCCAGTTTTTTCAAATTGGGTTAGTTTTTATCAAAAAGCTATATCATAAAAAGAAATTCTGGAATTTCAAAAGCTGTAATTTGTTATCTTCTTCTTTAAAACTCCTTTAAAGTCTGTCGTTTTTCAAGTCTCGTAGATTTCATTGACACTATGTTTGTATCTTCCATATGATGTTTGAAATTATCTTTTTTTCAGTAAGATTTCGAATAGAGTTGAGTTTGAACAATTTCGTATGTTTTTTATCTCAAGGCTCTTTTCTACTTTCCCCCACACTTCAAATTGTCCATATTCTTAGTCATTTTATGTGTTATAACGGCTAAATGCGTGATATCCTAATTTGTTCAACGGGTAGACGTCAAGTAGGCACATACTGCGCCTTTTGTCTATCCCCTCCATTTTGTTGATTTAATAATTTAAATAAATTGATGCTTGTATTATCAACTATATGGAGAAATAAATTCTTCTTCTTCTTATATTACGATGTAAAGCATGAAGACCAAATTTGTTCACAATTGTTAGTTTGTTCGCCATTCATAACTTGATTGCATTATTACAATGTTAGCAGTTTTTCAAAATTGAAATTCAAAATGTGTGTGTGTGTGTGTGCGTGTTTGGGGGGGGGGGGGGGGGTGGTGGAAAAGAGCCCATATCAAGTGTGAATCATCAGATTCCTTTTTGGTTAAGTAGGACATGTAATTATGCTTGCCTGATGAATCCGCAGTTGACCTCCTTCAGTGCTTTGAGCTTGGACATAACCTTCTTGGAGCTCCTCAGCATCTTCATGTTGATCTCGGAGCAATAGCTGGTGAAAAATACGTACATGTCCCCGTAGAGGGGCTCCCCTACGTCTGTGTCAAAGTGCGCGATCAGTTTGCTTACGTTGTCCTCAGACGGCATTATGAAGTAGATCACTACAATAAAATCAATTTTCGGCTATTTTTGTTGTTTGTTTTGTCGTCGTGTCAAGAAGAAAGTTTAAGTTTGAGCAAAGTCTTGATGCGAAACTTGATATATGATTTTTTTTCGCCGAAATTCGAAAGCGGAATAATATTCAAAAAAGTCAAAGTATTTTAGGATTTTGGCTCTTTTTCCTTTTCAACCTCACACGACGATCAATTTTATCGTCTAACGAGTGGTTTTACAAGGTTGATTATGAAGACCAAATATGTTTGTCATGGCATAATCAGTCTGCATGTCAATTTTCATGTCAATCGGACAATGTGAACAAAAATTTTAGTTATAAAAATTTGCAGGTGGGGGAAAAATTTTTACACGTAAATTTGTTGACCACATTGTCCGATTGTTATGAAAATGGCTCTTTTCCAGTTTCCCCCCCCACCTTTCAAATTCGATTTTGAAAAGCTTATTTAACGTTGTCATAATGCAATGAAATTTGGCGTGGTGAACAAATCGACAATTCTGAACAGATTTGTTCTTCATACTTAACAGCGTAACATCACGCATTTAGCCGTAATAACTCGTAAAACAAACATAAAACTCCCCCTCCCCTTGAGGGGAGGGGGAGTCAAAAGAGCCTAGTTTTTTTTGTTTGAATGCTAATTTAATGTTGGCAGTTGTCTTTCATGATTTCCTCAAAATTATCTTCATTTGAAATAAGCTTTGAAAATGTTGCTTTTTGATGATAAGAGAAAAAAGCCGACGGTTGATTTGTGTTTCCCGAATTTAGTTGAGCGGTTTTTATGTCAGTTTTTAATGCAAGTGGAGCATAAGAGAGGCCCCCATTTACAGCTTGCCTGGCATGTTTGTGGGTTCCTGGAGGGACA